AAGGACAGTGGGTGGAAACCCTGCTGGCCAGGGGGATGATGAGGCCCTGATGATGACCAGGGGGACCTGAGGCTTGGGCAAGGTGGGCCTTGGCACCCCCATCACCCCACCTCAACTTTCCGCCCACTGTCCTTGCTTGCCCAAGCCTCAGGTCGCCCTGGTCATCATCAGGGCCTCCATCTCGGCCTCCTCCTCCTTCATCATCTGTGGCTCCTGTTGCACTGACACGTGCAGTGAACATGGAGAGCGTGCGCAGAGCGCTACGCAAGCTCAAGGACGACCTTGCAGTCACGACTGCGCCGACGCCGACTGGAGCGAAAAGCAGCCCAGGCCGACCAACGCGCTGCCGACCAATGTGCCACCGACCAACGCGCTGCCGACCAACGTGCCGCCGACCTGCCAGCGCCTGCTGCGGCTGCGGCTGCTGCTCCTCCTCTGCCGCCTCCGCCTCCGCCTCCGCACGTCGCCCGCAGCCCATTCCTTCTGATACGCTGGTTGAAGGTGCTGCGGTGGCGCCGGCGAAGTGTCGTGTGTGTGTCGTGTGTGTCGTGTGTTCTTGACCCCCCCTCTAACAACAACAACAACGACCACAACAAGTCGTGTGCTTGCACAACGCAGGCTGAGTTTAAAAGTGCACGACCACCCACTTCCTCTTCTCCCACACAAGCCCAACCAGTAGAACTTTCCACTTCCCTCCCCAGCCATCATTATTCCACTTTTCTGAGCTCATGTGTGCTGCATGCCACGTTGCCAGGCTTTAACCTTACCTGCTGCAGCCTTGTGTGCACTGAACCACACACACCCACCCTTCGTGATGATCACTGGCGGAGATCGAAAAAATCATCAGCGGCCTTGGAAAAGGAGCAGGAATTGGGCTCGTCACGGAACTTTCCGGACCTTTGACTTGCGGCTATTGGATCGGCAATTAATAGGCCAGTGGGCAAATTGTCCAAACCCCGGTTGTCGGGCCTGACCGCAAGAAAACTGCCTGTTGTTGTTTTCCAACAGAAGCACAAGTATGACGCACACCGGTAGGTTCCTTCTCGTGGTGGCGGTCCTGGCCCTTGCTCTAGCTACTACCTGCAGCGCGGCCAGTTACCAGGTCCAAATCGATCTGGACCCTGTCACCTTGACCGAACTGCACGAATCGCAGCAGGCCATTCTGCTGGCCCAGCAGGCCCCGCCAGGCTGCTGGAGCACCGTGTGGGCCGCGGTTACCAGCCCCTTCATCCACAACTACCTCTCCTGGAACGAGACGAGGGGCATTTCGATCTACGCCAGCGTCACCACGTTGGCCGAGGGCCGCCAGATCTTCATGGGCAACTGGCGCAACCACGTCGACCTGGGCTTCCTCTACGGCTTTCACGACGGATTGTTCGACACTCGCCAGCCTCGCGATTGGCTGGCCCAGAACGAGCTGGCCGTCTTCAACAACGACACGGGCGCGCTCGCGTTCGGTCTGGCCCAAGACATCCAGGTCAACAACCGATGGACCGTCATGCCCCCACTGTTCGCCTGCGAGATGATTGGAGACGAGTACGAGGTCTTCCCGTCGAGCACCAGCTTCTACATCTTCATCGGCGCCCGCACTGCGCCCGGCACCATGACCCAGAACCTGAAGCGCGTGGCCCGCTCCCAGATGACCCTGGTCACCTTCAACGACTCCACCGACAAGGTCCTCCTCTCGTGGGACCGGGACAGTGGTCGCTTCATCGTCGGTGGCTTCTAGGCAGCCCAAATAACAGCCATAAATAAACTGGATTGTTGGGCAGTTGGTTTGTTTGTTTATGCGGGAAGAAGTGTCGTGTGTGTGGTGTGTGTCGTGAAAGAAGTACCTGCGTGCGTAAGGGGTGGTTGGGATCGGGCGGCACCAGCACGTCGAGCGACTCCGCTCAGCGCTCCCTACAACCCACCAACACAGCAAACGTGTGAGAACACAACCGCACGCACAAAACCGGTGTCCTCAGGCAGCGCACTGGAACCTCGTGTTTATTGGAGCGGGATGCAGGAAGTCCACGAACAAGCGGAGACTGTGTGTGCGCGACTGATGAATCGCGCCGCACTGCGTGTCGTGTCGTGTCGTGCTGTGTGCGGCGGAGGCAGAGAAGCGTACATGGACAAGGCCTCCACGTCGTTGGTGAACGAGCCGTGGGCCACATACACGACACCACACACACACGACACACACGACGCACGACACGACATAACTGCACAAATAGGACCTTAAAAAAAGGATTGGCCAAATAAATAAAAGGGTCTTCTTTATTTGGTCATTTTATCTTTCTCGGACCGACCCGCTAGTGGGTGCCGGGAGTGCCGAACATGCTGTCCTGGCCCGGGGGAGGAGCCCACCCGAACAGCTATGATATTTTAAAAATAGAAATATACAAACACACAATGCGGCATAGCGCAGCGTTAGTATGGCGGCGCGGAGGGCCAGGAGAGGGGAAGAAGTGCGCACCTTCTGCACGGAGGTACGGAGGCTCATGCTGCACAGCGCTGTTGGAAGCAGCAGCATCACCACCACCAGTGCAGAGAGGAAAATAGTGCATTAGGAAAGGAACACACGGCAGAGAGCTGGCGACGCGTACCGTAGATGAAGGCGGCTGAGCACTCGTAGTAGTCGACACCCAGAAGGCCCCGGTGGGAGATGCTGCGCACCAAGGGCATCGGCTCGAAGGGCAGCTGTGCTCATGGCCAACGCATCGGGCAACACGTTCGCACACCACCGCACGCACGTCAGGCCACATTCGTGTGCGGTGGTGCGTGTGTCATGCTACGCGTGTGTGGTGTGCCGTGTGCGGTGGTGCGTACCCGGGCCACGACGAGGCCACCGAAGCTGGAGTTGATGACGCCAAAGAGCGACACGAGGGTGATACCGATGACGAACATGGACTTCATCTTGGACTGCGTGAGATCTCGGTTGGCCTCCTGGAGCTGTTGCTCGTACTGCACGATGCGCTTGTCACGGCTCTTTTTCTTGTCGATGCTCTGAGGGCCGTCCTTCTTCTTCTCCACTGTTATACGAGGGGTGTAGCAAAAGATTAATAAATAAATAACAATTAAACCGAAGTAGCGCCTCCCTCCATCAAAAAGAAAAAGGAGAGTGTGCATACGCTTCTTGGTGAGCTTCTCGACCTTGCCCTGCAGACTGGAGTAACTCTCCGTTCGGTAGATGAGCAGCCACGACAGCACTACCCCCCCACGGACGAACGTCAGCATTTCTCTTGAATCGGTCGGCACTCTCTTGGTTTCATCAAAAAGAAAGAATTGAGGAGGGCGAGTGCACCTTCGGCAGTGACCGCGCTGGCCAAGGAAATGGCGAAGATTTGCACGCAGTCCCACACCATCTTCTGCTGTTCGTGATGGCCGGCTGATTAAAATGGGATTTCTTTGCCTCTTTTCACCGTTGGTTTCTCCGCCCGACCACACCCAAATCGAAATCGATTGTACAACGAACAGAACAAGACGCCCTTCTCCATCTCCATCGCGCGGTCACCACGAGAACTCGGCTGTTCTCGCTGCAGCCCTTTCCGACATCATTGGGGCACTTGCGTGAAGGACGAGCGATCAACAGTAGTGTAGTAGCAGCAAGCCATCTCAACACCTAGCGCCACAATAATAATAATAGCACCACACACAGCATGGAGCGGGAAAGCCAGAAGACGGTGCAGGAGTACTTCTTGCTGGTAGAAAAGTCCCAACAACTCTTTGCTGGCCTCAGGTGCCCCCCCCCCACAACACCAATCTGCACTTCAGTTTCCACCCCGCCAACACGCTACATCCATCAAACATGTCGTGTACAGAGATTTGCCGCAGTTTGGCCGACACTGGCAGCCCTACTTCCAAAAGACTTTCGAGATCTACACCAAGGTACCGCTCCTCCTCTCTACTTGCCCCTGCTCGCTACTAAGCTCGTTTCTGCCGCCATCGCACACCGCCAGTTGTGGAGATATCAGCAGCAGCACCGGTACGCACGCGCACCAGCAAAGCATGCGTTGATCCGGGTCCGCCTGCCACCGCACCTCCTCTTAAACCGGTCTCTTTGTGGTGCGGTGTGCTGGGTGGTTGTGTGGTTGTCGAGCGCAGAGCGGTGCTGGAGAACAAAGACATATATGGCCTCAAGCGCTGGTATGCCTCTCTCTCTCTCCCTCTCTCCCGCTTCTCTTGAAAGCGGAGTAGCTCATCAATCGGGGGGGGGTGTACTTCGCGTGTGCAGGGAGATCGGAGAGATCGCCTCCAAGATCGGCCAGCTCTACTACCACTACTAGTTACCACCCTTTCCTCCACCAATCAATGGGGCGCAACCACATGTGCGCACACGTATGGCACAAAAACATGTGCTGACCCGGGGCCACGTGGTGGGTGGCTGCTGGCTGGTGTGATAGCCTGAGGACGAGCGAGACGACGTACCTGGAGGAGTCGTTTGTGTTCTACGAGGCCATCCGCCTCCGCGACTACTTCAAGGACGTGTTCGAGACCAAAAAGTATGCTCGCGCCCACGCTGTGTCGTGTGTCTGTGCGCGCGCGCGCGCGTGTGTGTGCCCACTAACGCTTCCCCCTGGTCGGTGGCTATGACCGCACGGCAGTCCGCTGCTGGTGGTGAAGAAGCTACGGTACTACGCGCGGTACATAGTGGTGTGCCTGCTCCTCAACCGGCGAGCGCTCGTGGTGGAGCTCGTCGACGAACTGCAGACCCTCGTCGACGACTACGTGCGCGACTTCAAACCCGCCGACGCCGCCGCCTGGCGCCTCGTCCTCCAGGAGATCAACCTCTTCCTCCAGGCACCCACCCGCCCACCCACTCGCTCGCTCGATTCTCCCGGCGCAACGACGCGAGCTAACGCGTGTCTCGTGTTGCGTGTGTGTGCGTGTGCGGCACTGGGGTGCAGGTGGACTGCCCGCTGGCGATCTCGGACCGGGCCAAGGAGGCGCCCGCGCTGTCCAATCGGCTGAAGCTGCCGCCGTCGGGGCTCGAGGGCAAGATCCGCCTGCAGGAGGCCATCCTGGTGGGCAACTACCAGCACCAGGTCAAGTTCAGCGAACTCACCCTCGACATGTTCCGCGTCATGCAAGTCCTCGAGCGCGAGCGCGTCGGCTCCGCCTTCCCCCGGCCCTCCCTCGACCACTCCCCCGACGTACGCAGCCCCCCCCCCAATGTGTGTCGTGTCGTATCGTGTGTGTCGTGTGTCGACCCAAACGTGTGATTTCCACGACGCCACATGAATTCGACCAATGACGTGGTGGCACGTGGTACACAGGGCGAGGACAAGGCCAAGAAGCGAAGCAATCCGCACAAGTTCCTGCTCTACCGGCCCACATTCTCCCAATTCCTCGTCTTCCTCTCCACCGCATTCAAGGCACCCATCCTCCCCCCCCCCGCCTACTACATTAATTCATACATTTGAATATGATTGGAATTCTGACGAGCATCGGCATCACCACCAATCATCGCCATCGTCGTCGTCGTCGTCCAGGAGCTGCACGACAACAACGTGCTGCTGGTCTACCTGTCCGCCGATGGCCTGCGACCCGACGAGCCACCGGCCGCGGAGGGCAAGGGCGCCGAGGCCACCGAGCAGTCGGGAGCGGCGGCCGTTAAGCGCAGCCCGCTGCAGGCGCCGGTGCCGCAGCAGAGGGGCGTGCAGCGAACCAGCGGCGGAGTGGCGATGGCCGGCGGGTGGAGCGCACACAAATCGCAGCAGCAGCAGCCGCAGCGCGGCGGCGGCGGCGGAGAGGGGGAGGAGGCCGTCGCCTCATCGCATGCGGGGGGCAGCGGGGCCTACGCCTCGCAGTGCCTGTATCCGGCCGACCTGCTGCCCTTCACCCGCAAGAAGCTCTTCCTCATCGTCGAATCCGACAACTCGGCCGCCTTCCGGGTACCTCTCTCTTCTCTCTCTTCTCTCTTTCCCTCTCTTTCTCTCTTTTCCTTCTCTTTTTCCCTTCTATTTTCTCCATCCAGTAGATGGTGGACTCACCGGGAGTGGTGGGCCTGGCAGACCATCGACAGCGCGTTCGGGCAGCCGTTCCTGTGCCTCCTCTCGCCCGTCTCCACGGGTGCCCTGCAGACCAAGGGTATATATTTATATACATAGAATGAACTTGCACGCGACCAACCCACTCACGCACTCACTCACGCGAGTGGTGTCTGTGTGAATGTGCCGGACAGGTAATCTGTTCACGCTGTTCTTCCACGACCCGCTGGCCGGGTTCTGCGTGGTGATCAACAAGCAGGCGGTGACGCAGGAGGCCTACGACAAGTGTACCAAATACATCCAGTCCTCCTTCGACGACGTCCAAAAGCTCCTCTGGAACTTTCCCCACATACGTACGCGGCCACCCCGCCCCAACCAAGCCACCAACAGCCATCGTCGACCAGAGCCTCTTGGTCTGACACGTGACCGTCGCGGTGCGACACGACACGACACGACACGCAATGCAGCGCGGGAGTTCCATCAGTTCCTGGAGGAGGACTTCCTGCAGGCGTTCATCCTGCGGTTCATATTTTGCCATTCGGTGCTCTACCTCCACAGAAAATGCCACTCCAAGGTACCCCTCGCCGGGTTCTTTCTCTTCTTGCTTCTTCGCCGGCTTTGTGTTATTTCTTACGCGCCTTGTGTCGCAGCCGGAGTGTTTGCCGGCCTCGCGCCCGGCGCTGCCGCGGGAATTCCTGGCCCACCCGGTGGTGCTGTCGATCGTGTTCAAGCTGGCCTCCTTCCTCTCCGTCACCGAACAGTTCGCCCACCCCGACGACCACCCCGAGACCTCCTAGCCCCTCTCTCCAGTCCCGCGCCACCACCTTCATTCCCCTCCCCGCACATCGCTTCGCTTCCCAACGAAAAATTATACCGCACGGGGGTCCACCCCAGACAGGTGCTGATGTTGTTGACATGAACATGCTGCTGCTGGTTGTGAGCGAACGGATGACCACGTTCATTCATCTTCGTCATCCTCCTCCCGCGAGTTGCGTTTGCGTTGGGCCTTGGCGGGGGTGCCCTTCCGATGCGTTGTGCTGGCGGCAAGTGCGGCGTTGAGTGCCTGTGCCCACTGCGCGGGCTCGTGCGGCGAGGGTGCGGCAGTGCCGGTTGCCTCGCTGCTTCTGCGCCGCGCCTTCCTCCGCTCGCCTCCACCTGCAGCAGTCGTGGTCGTGCCCAGCACCACCGGAGGCCGCTCCGCAGCTCTTTGTCCTTCCTGCTGCCGCTGCAGGTGGCCCTTGATGTGGTCCAGCGCCGACCCTTTCTGCGCGCGACCTGCAGCCGGCGCGGGGAAAAGAAAGAACACGACGAGGTGCCCAGACTCAGCAAGTGCGTAGAGCACACGACACACAAGAGAGAGAGTACTCTGCTTGCTGGCCTCGGTCTGGCTGACGAGGAGCTCCTGGATGCGCTGCTCGGTCTCCTGCTTGAGGCGGATGGCGCGGTCCCGCCCGGTGAAGCTGTCGAAGCGGTAGGAGAGCCACAGGTAGAGGTCGAGCACGTGGTGGAAGCTCTCCAGCTCGGCCAGCCGCCCGCTCTTGCTGTCGCCCCTCTCAGGTCGCAGATCCATCTCCACCTCGCCCTCAGACGCGTGGCTATTCGCAAACTAAGGAAGAAGCCAAGAAGAAGAAGACGACAACGACGAGAAAGCGCTCGTAAGCTTCAGTCTGTCGTGTGTGTCAGGTTCGTTTGCCGTGTGTGTCTGTGGTTGCGTGCCTTGAGGAGGTGCCACATGAGGGACGAATCGTCGGAGCGCACGGGGGCGATGCTGAACTTGAACCGCTCGCGTAGGGAGAGGGGCACCGACTCGATGAGCTTGGCCACCGACACCCGGTCGTCGTTCCCGCACAGAAAGTAGTGGCTGCTCACGGCCGCCTTGAGCGTCAGTTCGTCCTGCACCCCCCCCCCGGTTGACCCCAAAAAGATCAGCGCCGCGGTGGTGGCTGGTGGCTGGTGGCTGGTGGCTGGCTGGTGGCTGGTGGCTGGTGGCTGGTGGCTGGTGGCTGGTGGCTGGTGGCTGGTGGCTGGTGGCTGGTGGCTGGTGGCTGGTGGCTGGTGGCTGGTGGCTGGTGGCTGGTGGCTGGTGGCTGGTGGAGAGAAAGCGGAGAGGCGTACCAGGAGCTCGTAGAAGGGGGACTGCGGATAGACGCGCGAGAACATGCTCACCTGCTCGAATGTCGGGGCCAGCCCCGCGCTCTGTAGTTTGGCCACGACACACACGACACACGACATCCGGATGAGCGCTAGACAACGAGGCGTTACACTGCCCGGGGGGGGGGCGAGGGCACGGCACCGGCAGTGGTTCCAGTTCGCGCAGCAAGGCCCGCCGAATCCGGGGCAGATCAGCGCCGTCGAACCTGCACCGGCCAACACGACACGACACGACACGACACGACACACGCTGCATAGTGAGCGCCAGTCGTAGTGGCTGGTGGTGGCGGCGGCAGCTAGCCTGGAGGATTGATAGGAAAGGCGCGGCGTACGCGGTGACCTCGCCGGTGGGGAAGATGGAGCGGTAGCGGCCGGCGCGGCCGGCGATCTGCTTGATCTCCGAGTCGGTCAAGAGGCGCCGCTTGTGGCCGTCGAACTTGTGGAGGGTGGAGAACACGACGCGCGAGATGTTCAGGTTGAGGCCCATCCCGATGGCGTCGCTCGCCACCAGCACCTCGTACTCGCTCGCCGGATCGTTGAAGAGCTCCGCCTGCGCGTCATCGACAACGCACCATTTCATGTAAAGAGTGCGGCCACGTCAGCAGCGGCATCTCAAGAATGAATGAGGCGAGGGGTGCGTGTTTGCCTGTTCGACGCGGGTCTGGGGCGGGAGGTTGCCGTAGACGACGCAGCAGCGGTGGCGCGTGTTGCGTTCGATCTCGCGCTTGAGGGTGTGGATGTCGGCCCGCGAGAACGCCACCACGCAATCGCCCGCCCGCAGCGACTTGTACCACTTACGCCCGAGCGGCCTGCAACCCAACCAACAACGAGTCGCCACGTCACCGCCACACACGCCAGCCAACGCGTCGTTGACCCCCGTCATGGCGGAATGGGCGGGAATGTGGGTGGGTAGGTACGTGTCGGAGACGACGAGGGGCGAGAGGCGGGTGTAGTGGTGGACGTGGAGGCGCTCGCCGGTGTCCTGGCAGATCTTCTGCACCAGCGGCACGATGGACTCGTTGCCGCACAGGTGCACCTCCGCCGCGGGCAGGCCCAGCAGGGCGCGCGTCCACGCCCACCCGCGATCCTGGTCCCCCAGCATCTGGATCTCATCAATCACCGCACACTCCACCTCACTGCACACACACGGCACACATACGACACACACACGACACACGACACACGACACACACGACACACACACGACAGTACCACACACGAGATTATGTGGTGAGCTGGGGTGCGTGAGGTGAGCTGGCCAGCTGGGGTGCAACGTGCCTGGCGACGTCGGCCATTTCGACGGTGCAGGCAAGGTGGCGCGCGGTGGGGTCGGTGACGACGCGCTGCCCGGTGAGGAGCGAGCACGCCACGCCCTCCTTGTTCATGCGCCGGAACACCTCCTCGGCCAGCAGCCGCAGCGGCCCGCAGTACACCCCGCTCCGCGACGCCGCCAGCCGCGTCAGCGCCTCGTGCGTCTTCCCACTAATGCGTCGCGCGTGTTTGCCACGCGCCACGTCAGCGTGAGTGCGTCACGCACGCGCGCGGTGCCGCACGAGAGAGGGGAAGGCGCGGGCGTGTGCGTGCCTGTTGGTGGGTCCGACGTGGAGCACGATGCGGCGGCCGCCGGGGAGGGCGCGTGCGAGCGGGTACCACGCGTGCGGGTGCCGCAGGTCGGTCGCCATCCGCCGGAACGTGCGCCACGCATTCTTTTCCTCCTCCTCCTCATCAGTCTCGGCGCGGAGGTCGTCGGCGGGCGGGAGCAAGACTGCTCCGCGACCGCCCTCGTCGCCCGCGGACGACTTCAGAGGCCGCCCGTAGTAGTAGTGCTCCCACACAAACTCCACAAACATCTCCATCAGCGGCTCCGCACACTCTGCACGACACACACGACACACGACACACGACACACACAACACACAACACACACGAATGAGTTGGGAGCGATGCAGAGTGGAGCAAAGCGAGCGGTGGCGGCGCACCGTGGTGGGTGCGCTTGGGGTCGGCGAGGAGGGAGAGGAGCGCGGGCGGCATGCGGCGCAGGTGGTCGTCGGAGGTGGTGCGGGCCTCGAAGAGCGCCAGCGCGGCCTCCAGGTCCCGCTCCCGGCCCAGCAGCCCCATCACGCGCTCGCCTCGCGAACGGTGGCCCTTCACTTCTTGCACGCGCCTCCTGCCCCTTGCGCCCTCTTCTTGTTCTTCCGCTTCTTCATTACCGTCGCCTTCATCATCATCATCATCGCGTTCGTGGTCGTCGTCGTTGGCAGCGGCTGCAGCGCCGCGGGGTGCTTGGTCGGCCTGCAGCGCGCGAGCGGCCAGGCGCGCACGCACCTCTCGCTGCACGCTGGCATCTCGCACGAAGGCCTCCAGGCGGAGCGCCACCACATCTGTACGACCCGCCCCCCCACACGACGTCAACACCAAGGGAGAGGGGAGGGATCAATTCATGAATAGCACACGGCACACACACGAGACACACGCGCATCGCGCACGCAGACCGCCGTCCGGCGCACGCAAGGAAAGTAAGCGGGCGGCACCTTTGTCGCGCTCCACCTGGCCCACGCCCGTGGTGAGTGCGCGGAGTGGTGGCACACCGGCGGTGGCGGCGCCATATGCGTTCCCTTGCTGGCCACCGCCGGCGCCCGTCCTCCCGTTCTTCTTCGTCATCGTCTTCTTCTTCATCTTCTTTTCCTTGCCCTCGTCCCAACCCTCGTGCTTCCTCGCCTGCTGCTGCTGCTTCTTCTTCTTCGTGCTCGAGTCGGTTTGGGCCGCCTCCCGAGCGCCTCTCTCTGTGGCCGCGACCTAATGTCAGCAGCCTGCGGGCCTCGCTTCCGCACAGCACGACACGACACGCACGGTCTGATGGGGGGGGGGAGAGAGAGAGAGAGAACAGGCGTACCACGTAGGGAGCTGTAGGGGAGGCGCGAGGTCCACATCAGCCGCAGAGGCGGCTGGCACGGGGCAGGCCACACGCCACCACGTAGCGGTACTGCGGGCCGTAGTGCGTGGGGCATGGCGTGGTGGGTGCTGGTGCTGGCACATCGGGAGGCGAGGGACCGCGGCAAGAGGTTCCGCATGCACGGTGCCAGGCAGGAGGCCCACGCCGTCGTCCGGCACGCTCCGCGACACGCATCACTTGCGCGCATCATCGTTTGCTTGTTATTTTTATTTTTATTTTTTATTCTGTTCTGGAACAGAATAAAAGGAATTTGGGAAAATGAGAAAAAGAAAAAGAAAAAAAGGAACGTTGGCAAAACCGAACGCGCCAAAGGAGAAGGCACAACCGTCACCTGCTGCGGCCCAGAAGCCGGAAGAGACGAGAAGAAGAACAGCGCACAGGAGAAGGAAGAAGAATGTCATCGCCCAAGAGAGTCGCAAAGAGGAAGAGGCCGGTGGAAGATGAGACGGAAGAAGTCGTAGAAGCGCCCAAGGCCCAAACGACGACATCCAAGAAGACTGCCGGAAGCCCGGCCAAGCTCAAGAGGGAGAACACCATGGCGGCGGTGGTCAAGGAGGGCGGCCAGTTCCTCGACCGCGCCGCGGGCAGCCCGGCCAAGCGCGCCTCTTCCCGCCTCGCCACCTCTGCCAAGCCTTCTTCGTCCTCGCCCCGCCCCGCCAAACGCGCCAAGAAAACGACGAAGGCCGCTAAAGGCGAAGAGAAAAAGGAAGAAGTAGCGGAAGAGGAAGAGGAGGAAAAGGAAGAGGAGGAGGAAGTAGAGGGCAAGCCAGTCCCTCAGTTGGTGAAGGGAGGGTCGATGTTGAAGGTGGCCAAGGAGGCCCAGCACTTCCTGGTGAAGGGGAGCGGCAGCCCGATGGGCAAGACACGCAGCCAGAGCGCCAAGGCCAAGCAGGACGAAAGCGAGGCCAAGAAGAAGAAGAAGCCGGCCACGCCCAAGAAGCTCGTCAAGCAGTCGACCATGGCCGACACCGCCAAGGAAGGCGCCGCCCTCCTCGAGAAGGCCGGTGGCAGCCCAGCCACCCGACTGCGTCCAACCAAGGCCGCAGCCAAGGGCAAGGGCAAGGCGGCCGCCAAGCCCGCGGCCAAGGGCAAGGGCAAGAAGTCCTCGTAAAGGACCACCATGTGCTCATCACCACCTCTTGTTGTTTCAGTAGTACAATACCACCTCCTACACTAAATAGAGAAATCAACTTCAAACCTTGCCTTTCAGTGCCTGGATGGAGCAAGTAGAGGAAACGGGAGTGGGTGTAGCAGCTTTTACACCAGACGTGTCAACCCTACTACAACTACTGGGCGGCCTGCTGGGCGAGGAAGGTGTCGATCTCGTCGAGCTCCTGCTTGAGCTTGACCAGGAACTGGGGATCGGCCTGGAGCTGGCCTTGGAGCTTGGCGTGGTCCTTCTGTCGCTTTTGGAACTCCTTGCTCAGCTTGCTCTTGGCGCTCTTGCTCAGCTCCTTGCCCTCGGCGCCGTGGGTGGGCACGCCCTGCGCGTCGAACTGCGAGTAGAGCCCCTCGCCAAACAGCTCCGTCGGCGGTCGGCTGGCATCCTCAAAGTTCTTCAGATCTCGCACCAACACCACTCGCCGCCTCGTCTTCTTGTCCACCACAGCTGCATAGCGCGACACACACACACACACACACACGACACACACGAGCAGGCGTGTGCGTGAGTCCCCTTGGCACTCACGAGAACACCAAGAAGAGTCATGCTTCAATAGTACCCTTGACTGCATTGCGCTTCTTGTCGGCGATCTCCTTCTTGAGCACCTCGGGCGCGACGGCGGTCCACAGGTTGAGCCCGTCGTCCTCCAGGCGCACGCCCAGGTCGGGCATCACCTCGTCGCGCAGCCGGTCGGTCATGAGGAGGAACTCGGCGTGGGGCTTCTTCTCCTTGGCCGCCGTGCGCACGTCCTTGCGCAGGGTGGCGAGCACGTCGAGCACCTCCTTGCTGCCGGTCGACGACGCCGCGGCCGCGGCCGACGAAGAGCCGCCGTAGCCGTGCTCGGGGAACTCGATGCCCATGACGCCGAGGATGTGGGCCACGTAGGAGGCGAGCTTGTTGAGGAGGAGGGCCTTGGGCGGCTGCTGGTCCTCCTTGGCCTTGCGGCTGTTGATGTAGGCGTTGGCGGCGTGCACCACGTTGAACAGCTGCTGGAGCACCTCGGGCGTGTCAAAGTTGTTGCAGAACGCCGCGTGGACGGCCTCCTGCGCCTTGAGGAACTTGGCGTGCAGCTCCTTCTCGTCGTTGCTCCACTTCTGCGCGGAGTTGCCCACCTTGCCGGTGCTCTGATTGACGCGCCCGATCAGAGTTGGTTCGAGAGCGTTGTGTGTGATTGCTGACGTCAGCAAATCGTGCGAAGGAGCGGTACCTGTTCGTCGAGGAAGATCTGGTGGACGTTCTCGAAGAAGCGGAGGAGGGTCTTCTCTCGGTTCATGATCTCGTTCATGCCGTCCTTCCGGTCAAAGTCCATCACGCTCCACCACGACGTGCCCACGAAGTAGAGGCGCATCTGCACCACGTGTGGAGTTTGTGAGCAACACACACACACACAGCGAGAGGGGGGGGGGAAGAAGAGGTACCTGGCGAGGGGAGCAGGTCTGGAGGGCCTCGCGGATGGTGATGAAGTTCTTGAGGGACTTGGACATCTTGAGGCCGTCGATGTGGAGGTGTCCGGAGTGGAGGAAGTAGTTGACCCACTGCTTGCAGCCGTAGTGGGCCTCGGCCTGGGCGAGCTCGTTGTCGTGGTGCGGGAAGCGGAGGTCGGAGCCGCCCGAGTGGATGTCCATGTTATCGCCGAACAGGTCCGACGCCATGGCCGAGCACTCGATGTGCCAGCCGGGGCGGCCGCGGCCCCAAGGCGAGTCCCACGAGGGCTCGCCCGGCTTGGACTGCTTCCACAGGGCAAAGTCGTTCTCCGACGCCTTCTTGTCGCCCTTCTTGTCCGACAGCGCGCCCTCGCCGGACTTGAGCAGCTTGCCGTCGCCCACCGACCACGGCTCGAGCTTGCCGTAGGCGTGGCCCCGCTGCGCAAAGGCCTCGGTGTGGAAGTAGACCGAGCCGTTGGACTCGTAGGCCAGGCCGTTGGCCTCGATCTGCTGCACGTAGGTGACAATCTCCGGAATGAACTCGGTCACGCGGGTCATGACGTCGGGCACGCGCACGCCCAGCTCCTTCATGTCCTCCAGGAACTCCTCCTCGTACCGCGCGGCGTGCGCGCGGAAGATGCGCTCGTCGGTGATCGAGTGGCCGTCGCGCTTGTCGAGCAGGTCGGCCACCACGTCGCGCACGCTGCCCACCTCGGCAAAGGCCAGCGCGCTCGGCACCTTGTCGTCGCCGGCCGCCACGCGCTCGCGCAGCTTGGCCACGGCGGCCTCAGCCTCGGGCACGAGGGCGAGCTTGTCGGCGAGCAGCTTCTTCTCGGCCTCCTTCTCGAAGGTCTTATTCTTCTTCTTCCGGGCCACGAGCTGCGCGATCTCGACCTCGAGCTCCTGGATCTTCTTCTCGAGGTCCTTCTTGTAGTCGCCGAAGCCCTCGGCGATGTCCTCAAACACCTGCGCGGTGAGGGTGGCGTGCGCCTCCTCGTACAGCTTCAGGAGGTGGTTCTTGCGCGCTCGGAGGATGATCTTGTCGTCGACGTCGGTGATGTTCATCACCGCATACACGTCGTAGTTGAAGTAGTCCTCGAGGATGCGCCTGATGACGTCGAACGTGACATAGTTCCTGAATATGGGGCGGAGAGACGAGAGGAATGGAGGTGAGCGGTCGCGGCGTGATGAGCGGCTCGCGTGGGACACTGGACAAAAGCGGCGGCGAGGTGAGCTGGGGGGTGGGGAGGTTTTGTTGTTTACCTGGCGTGGCCAAAGTGGGCCGAGTCGTACACAGTCGGGCCGCAGATGTACCACTTGATGAGGTTCCCGTGTTGCGGGCGGAACGGCACCAGGACGTTCGACTTGGCGTCCACCTTCAGGCTGTTCAATACTTGCAATCCTGTGTCGAGCAGAACCATAAACAACATTTAAATGTCAGCAATCGCTCCCATTTTTCTCATTTTCCGATTGTGTAAAATCGTGACATGCGATTATGCACCCAGTACGCAGAAGGGACCGGTGCCGGGGGAGAGAGAGAGAGAGATGAAATGTTGCATACCCTTGTCGACGCCATCGGCGGGCTGATGCCAGTGGGGCTGTGGCGTGTTCTTTTTGGACCTCACGACCTGCACTTGCCCTTCCATGTTTCGGAGTGGACACAAGATTGAACAGATGTTCGACAAGAGCACAAGCCGAAGTGGTTCGTGTCACCTTCTCGCTGCGGACTTTGAGAAAATTGGTGGAACGGAAACCGTGAAGGCCAGGAAAAGATTCTTTTCTCGAGCTTTTCTTATCGTCTGTCGCTGGAGAGAGAAGCTTCAGCTGGCTTCTGCAAGCTCAATCGGCCATGGAGGCAGCGCAGGAGGAAGACTGGCAAAGCTCTCATCCCGCGCGTAGGGCGTCCGTGGTGGGCGGTCTGCACGTGGTGAGGAACGGGCTGGCGATTAAGGACATTTTCATCCGCTCCCAGCACAAGGGCACCTTCCTCTCGACCGAACGCGATGGGAGCGTCTTTGCCAACCGCCCTCGCATCTCTCTACTCAACAAGGAGGCATGGACCCTCGAAATCTTTAAAGTGAATGAGCGCGCGGAGATGGAATTGAGGGCCTCGCGCGAACTCATGGAGAAGGACCTGCTGCCCGCCTCCCCTCGCGACTCGAACGGAACGCCTTCCCCCAATACATCAACATCTTCCACATCCTCGCTCGACCGCGGCCCCCTGGGGGCGAGTAGCGATTTTCTGCCCATTCACGGCGACGAAGGGGAGGACATGGATGCCATGTACTACTTTGGATTCAAGAGCCACCTCGGGCGCTACTTGGGTGTGGAGAGCATGCCACCCATCTTCGCACAGCCCGATCCGCCACCACCTTCGCCTTCGCCTTCAAGCTCCTCTACTCGCCCACCTTCCGCACCGATCACCGGCGCTACTCCTCCTTCGACGTCATCACTACTCACCTCCTCTGCCTCTGCCCCTGGCCCTCGGTCGCGCTCGCCGCGCTCTCCCCTCGTGGTCAACGCCAGCATCGAGGAGCCCAACTTCAACTGCCTCTGGGTCATCTACCAGGTTTCACTTCCACGTCTGCCCTGCTCACCGGCGGTTGTTGTTGTTGTTGTTGTTGTGAATGAACGGAAGCTGACGACTGATCGATCACGTTATGATCACCAGATTCGACGCGGGGTGTGGGGCCTCAAGAGCCAGCGAGGCGATGGGCCGTGGCTGTGCGTGGAAGTCGACACGGGCGAGCTGGTACTGCTCGACGAGCCGCTGCCCGTGGACGCCCGATTTTTCTGGGGCTTCACCACCGTGCGCAAACGCGTCAAGCTGCTCGGCAGCCACCACCGCTACCTTTCCGCCGAACTCAACCGCTCGGTATATCTCTTTCTCTCTCTGCCTTCATGGTTCCTCCCGCCACCTTGAACAATGGATGACTGACTCCTTACGGCCTGGCACTGCCTTAATCCGCAGGTCATCGCCAACCGGGAGCGAGCCGGGCCGTGGGAAACGTGGATCGTGGAGCGGCTTCCCTCCAACAAGTGGACACTGCTGAGCTATCACGGGTAAAATCCAACACATACATTTGGCAACCCGTTCATAGCTTGCATGTGTGCCCGAGTCAGGGCACGGATACTGATTGTGCTTTGCTCACTCTTCGCCCACGTGTTGCTCTCCGCTCAGCTATTATCTATCGGGACTCAATGACGGCATGGTGGTTGCCAACCAGGGCGTGCCACGAGAAGCAGAACAGGTTAGTTCCCCGCCCACTCTCCCATGAAAAACACAGCTTCGCGCCTCATTGTCTCACTCTCACACTTTCTCATTCTCGGCTAAAGTGGGAGCTGATTCCCATCCGTAAGGGATTTTTTGGCCTGAAGGTAACCACTGGCTCCATCTCCCACGTTGCATGCGTGCGTGTCGCTTATGAGCACGGTGGCGGTGGCGGTTGGTGGTGGTTGGTATTGCTATGCAGAGCCTGTACAGTCGATATTTGTGTATCACGCCCGAGAAGGATGGACGCGTGCTCTCGCAGGCACAGAACGCCCTGAAGGCCAAGCGGTTGGAGGAGTGGGCGCTGCAGAAGGACTACCAGCTGCGACGAATCACGAAGACGCTCATCCCCTTGAGCTCGGTGGCCGACATCCCGCTGCCCTCGGTCATCACCTCGCCGGTGCCCTCCGCCGCGACTGCTGTCCTCTCGAGTGTGGGCGTCAAGAATCGCCGGATCTCCTTCCCGCCAGGGAGCCGATCCTAATAATCCGCCTTGTTGTTGGCTCTCTCCACCTTGATCTCTTCTTCTTTTTGGTTGCACTGTCACGTGCGATGTCGACAGTTCACAAGGGAATATTATGTGCCGGCGTGGGCCGCCACCTTACATTTTTGAGGTTGGCGCGACGAAACGCGCGGCGCTACGTGCCATCTCCATCTTTCAGCCATCTTCATCTTGAGAATTACTTGCTGGCAATTGATAGAGAGACCGTATCTAGATCTGAATCTCTCTCTACCGGCTCTGTGAGCAACTGGCTCAAGGATGGAGGGACGGAAGAGGAGCTCAACGGGTATGGGCCGCAAAGATAAGAAGGGGGGCCTGGCAGCACCTGCTCAGCCCTTGGTGGCCAGTCTGGGCGGGCCGCCTCCACCTTGCCCCTTAATCGAGCATCGGTCGAGGAAGATGGACGCCCCCAGTGGGGCGCTGCGCTCACGCTCAAGGCGGACGAGAAGATTAAGCGTTCATCGTCCCCTCGCGGCAGCATCATCGTGAAGGACAAAGACACCCCCTCAGACTTCATTTTCAAAACGCTGCTGGGCGAGTTCAAGGACCTGGCAAGGAAAAAGATCGAGGACATCATGACCGAACGCATCGTACGCACACAACCTCCTCCAACAGCTTTATTTGAATTAAATTAAATAATATTTCTAATATTTCCTGTATTATGTCGTGTTTTTATGCCATTTTATTTGCTCACTGCTCTTTTTGTATGTTGTTGGGGCCGCCTTCTCCTTCTTCTTCTTTTCTTTTTATCACGTGTCGTACAGGACACGATTTCGCTTCTGAGTGATGTGTTCGACGCCGCCGAGGACCCCATCTTCAGCCAGCTCGTCGAAGCGCTGAGCCAGCTGTCCGAGAACTGCGTACCGTTCCTCATTCGGGCGCTCATCAACTGGAAGTCCAACCAGCAGTTCCTCGCCAGCCAAACCTTCAAGCCGCCCGCGTACTTATATCTCTAGAATTCTTCCCATGATGCATCATTTGGTTGCACCATAAACTCTAACGTCACGCCAATATGTTTGTGTCAATAATAATAATTGTTGTGTTTCTCTTCACAGCGGCTTGGCCAAGGTGTCGGCGAAGGACACGATTCAGGTGCTGGACGAGCGACTGAAGCTGGCGGTGGAGTACATCTTCGGGATCACGCTGCTGGCGGTGCTCAAGCACTCGTCGGCCAAGGACACGCTCGGGTGGCTCGAGAGCGGCTCCGGCCTGGACGAGGACCTCGCCGCCCAGCTCGAGACCATGTGCTTCGAGCACTTCCGGCCCGGCGTCGAGAAGCCCAGCAAGAGCGTCGACTCGGGCCTGCTCAAGGCCCTCTCCGCCAACCGCCGGGAGATCCCCGAGCTCTACGCCCAGATCCTCGGTCTCCTCTCGCGGCACAGGTCTGTGCTCTCTCGCGCCCTCCGGCGATGATTTTAGTTAGTCCTTTACTAGTTAAATTATATTTGCTTGTTTATTTATTTCTATTTTTTTTTCTGACGGCTGATCGGCGTTGTTACGTGGCCATGGCAGGCTGGCGCAAATGACGGGGATGCTCTTCCGCGAGATCGGGTCGCCCTCGGCCAAGGGGCCGCAGCTCAACAAGAGCACGGCCATGCTCGAGGGCGTCCGTTACATCCAGCTCAGGGTAACCACGCGTTTTCTTTCTCTCTCTCTCTCTCTTTTTATTTATTATTAAGCTGCTGAACATGGCGCGCGCGTGCGTTTGGATTCCTGAAATCTCACGTCGTCCGTTGCGTTCCTCCTGCCCACACAGCTGGATACCAGGCAGGGGCTGGACCAGGCGCACGCGTTTGTAGCGCGGTTCTTTGATCTGTACAAACACAAATCGCGCACCCTCAAGGTACTCGCTCCGCACGAGTAGTCTGTGCCTCGACGGCCACAATCTCTCTCTAGCTCTCTGACACTACGCACTCTCCACACGCCAGACGCAACTGTCGAGGACTATTGTCTCCATATTCACGCCGCTGGTGAAGCAGCAGCCCTTCAATCCCGGCCTGGACTACACTGCGTGGCATTCGCTCATCTCCTCCATCTTCGTCCTCTACTCCAAAAAAATCAAGAAGTCCCGAAGCATACAGGTGCCCTTCTTCTTCTTCTTCTTCTTGCTGTTCTGTTGTTGGGCTGTGCACTAACATGGCCGTCCGCGTTGTCCATCGGTGGTGAAGACCTGGTACCCGCTGCTCGCGAACCTGTTGTGTTTGAGCGACAGCTCTCTCTTCCTTCAGCAGTTCTGGCCCTTCGTCGAGACCCTCACCAAGCTGCTCAAGGTGCCCTCATTACCTTCTCTGCTTCTCGTACTCGCCCCTCCCCACCATATGCATATGTCTTCATATACATATACACGTACATATCTATCTATACTGTACTGTGTGTGTATATATCTACATATGCATTTGGTGTGGATGAGCGAAGCTGTGCGTGTGCGCCTGATGACGTACGCAATGCTTACATCACGCGACTGTGCCGCGTGTCGTGTGTTGCGTGTGCGTCAACAGGACAAGGCCAACAAGCCAATCGCACTGGAGTCTCTCTACGTCATTCTGCTGACCTACCTCACGAAGCACACCGAACCCGGCGAGCAGCAGACCAAGCGTCTCTCCACCATCACCTCGCACATCTTCCCGCCCGGCGCATGGAAGGTTCTTGTTCTTGTTACCCCAGCACTTCCCCCCTCCCCCGGAGAGTATTCTCACTGCTTAACAACGACGACAACAACGTTGTTGCCTCTACCAATAGGGCCAAAACGAGGTGACGGACACGATCTACATCGATATCATCGCCGTCATTGCACAGAAGAAGCTCGACTATGCCATCAACAAGATCATCTTCGATTTGCTTCGCTCGGAGCCGTTTTGTCCAGAGTACGTGCGACACCTCAACCACCATCCACACTCGCTTCCCTACGTGGAAGCAGCTTGATCTGACGCCCATCATCATCATCATCATCATCATCATGGTGGCACGCAGGCGAGTGGGCATCGGCATCCAGAGTCTCCTCACCATCGTCGCCAACCTTGAAACGGGCAGCGGCTTGCGCGACTCCAACTCGTCGCAGAGCGGACCCCACCTCCCTCAGCGTCCTCCCGCGGCCATCCAGGAATACATGTACGCGCGGTCCCTCATTCGTGCGTTTGTTATTGTTATTATTTATGATTTATGATTTATTATTATTTGGTGTCACGCCTGCTCACTCTATGATGAACGCAGGCCGACCATCAATTTTTGCTTCTCGAGCATCCTCTCCACGCTCGACAAGACGTGCGGGCAGCTCACGCTGCTCCACTCGTCCAAGCAAGCGCAAGGTACGGCACGCACGCAGCAGACCCCCCGAGAGAAATACTAATACAAATTATAAATAATAAATAATAATAACACTAATAATACAAATA